CAGCGCAGCCAAACCCCCACGGGTGCCTGACACGGAGCCAAACCCCGGGGCTGACCCTCGCTCCCGCGGCACAGGGAAACCCCTGCGCTCGACTCACCCCTCCTGCGTCACAGGGAAGCCGCCGCACTCCTCCTCCGGGGCCAATGCCCCCTCCCACAGCGCACCCAGCTTGCCACAGAGCTGTGGGAGGGGAGCAGCAAGCGCACTTCCGGAACATGAGATTGTCAGTGCTTTTGCGGAATTCAAGTGTAGACAGCTGGCAAGTTTTTCCGGAAAAGTGGCTGATGTTCCAGAAAAACTGGCCAGTCTAGACACAGCCAAGATGACTTCAGTTAAGAACACATTGCACTTTTATAGCCTCCTTGGTAGCACTTTACAAACAGGGACTTGCTGGCCCTTACTACAATCTTGGCTAACAACTAACATCATTACCTCTGGTTTACAAGTGCACAAAATGAAGCACAGAGACATTAAGGCACAAACATTTCAAACCTGGCTTCTAATTCTGAGTGCCCAATTAAAATCACTGGAGCCACTTGCAGCTCCTCTGATGCCTACGGCACCTGTGGGTATTCAGAATGTCTGACAATCAAGCCTTAGATTTCTTCAACAGGCTGCCCCAAAAAAGAGGCAATTTTAAAAAATCTGTTCTTAAGTGATTTGCTTCAAGTTGAATAGTGATAGAAATGTAGCTGTGTTAGTCTGGGGTACTTGGAAGGCAAAGGAAGACCCAGGAACCCTGACTTCTGCTCCCACTACTAGCTAACTATTCTTAGGGTGCACACAATCCACACAAGCACTCTGCCTATATAAAAGAAAGGATTTAGGCTGGAATTTTCATAGGAGCGAAGAAGTTAGGAAAATCAGTGAAGTTTGGGTGTTAATTTTCCCGTGCTCCTTTGACAAATCCAGCCTTGGCTACCAATAAAAAGAAAGCTACAATGAAGCATTTTCTGCACAAAACAGCTAAGTTAAATCCTTGCTACACCCTTCATAAAAATTATTTTTTGGCACTTTTGACATTTGTTCCAAGGGTTTGAAAAACTGCAGCCCAATGTTAATTTAAACTTCCTTAGGACCCAGTTCAACATTTGAGGAGCAAGCACAGTTAATAGGATGGGAACTATGTTGATGCTGGGTTGCTTACTCTGTTGGGAAACAAAGCCGGAACAAAAACCAGCCTGAGCTAGAAGCTTTGTTTACATTGCTGACCCATCTGTCTTGATTAGCGCTATTTACAGGAAAAGTAAAAAAAAAAAAAAATCAGCCTCCACTCCATCTTTAGCTGCAACAGCAACAGAGACAAAAGGGTTTGTTTGCCCCCAAACTAAAAATGGAAATGCTTATCATATCCACTGGGAAGAAGATGTTTATTATAGGAATTTTATTATTGTTGTTGACTAGAGTTGGGCTCAACCATTTCAACCAGGACTTGTTCATTTCTAGGCACAGAAGAACAGATCATTAAAGGTATTTAGGTGCCTAGTGCTATTGAAATTAACAGGAGTTAAGTACCTGAGTACTTCTGAGGGGCAGGGCTCAATTTGTGCCAGGGCTTGCCAGGTCTAAGCTCTGGCACCTTTGGGCCTGCAGCAAGGCCAACAGCCATCACAGGCCCTGGAGCTCAGCATCCCCAAAGAGGGCAGGGCCTTGGGTAGAAGGGACGG